ATCCGAATCTCACCTTCGCCATATTCACCAGCCGTGGGACCTCTCTGCAGAATAAGGGTCTGCAAAATGGGAATAACAGTAGCTACTCGCCTTTTTAAGCACTTGATTGGAACCTGTCTCCCATCCATCAAGTTTTGCAAATTATTGTATTTAATATGTAGGATTTCGTAGGGTTGTTGTAATGATCTTATATTGTTGCCCGGCACGTACTAAGTGCTCCATTAGCGTTAGCGGTCATGTAAACCTTTTTGTGTTGCATGTGAGTCAAAGAATTCCCTTGTGGGTGTTAATGTTAACTATTCTCTGTGGTTGGCACAGGCCTGTGGAGCGCTGCTCAGAGCCTGGACTCGAATTAAACTCTTGGTTCTAACCTTGACTCTGTCATTCAGCAACACTGGGCAAATTACCTAATCTTTCTGTGCCTCCGTTTCAATGATGTGCTGGAACTGGCTCAAACTGGCTTGCAAGAGCCAGTTACTAAATATTCAAAAAGTTTGGGAACTGGTTGCTAAACCTTAGGTAGCTTGAAAGTAGTTATGATGGGATATTTACATCTTGAAAATCAACAAAGCTAAAAATGAAGGCTTCATTTTGACTCAGGAGAGCTGATTTCCAGCACACCTCTGAATCACTTTCTCCATCTGCAAAGTGGGTTTCATGGGATCATGGGGTTAAATACTCAAAACCATATGAAGCCCCTAGTACAATGTGTGGCACTCAATAAATGTGTAATAATTATTAGTTTTTCTCCCTTTTGCCTGTTATAAATAGAGCTGCTATGAATAGCCCTGTACACGTTACTTATTACTTTAGATTACTTTTGGGTTGAAGACTGACAAATACAACCATTGTATCCTGGGAGATACATGGATTTGGGGTGATTTTGCATGTAGCCATGTTGCACTCCAAAAAGGCTGAATGCAGTTTTAGGGAATAAATTGTTTCAGGGCAACAAATTTTAAGCCTCATGAAATGTGGTTACATCATTGATAAAAAGGCAGTCTCAGGCCAAGCGCAGTGGCTCACACCTATGATCCTAGTACTTTGGGAGGCTGAGGCAGGAGAATTGCTTGAGCTCAGGAGTTCCAGATAAGCCTGGGAAACGTGGCAAAACCCCGTCTCTACAAAAATAAAAAATAGAAAAATTAGCCAGGCGTGGTGGTGCGTGCCTATAGTCCCAGCTCCTTAGACGGCTGAGATGAGAGGATGACTTGAGCCTGGGAGGTTAAGGCCGCGGTCAGCTTAGATTGTGCCACTGCACTTCACCCTGGGTGACAGAGTGAGACTCAAAGAAAAGGAGGGAAGGAAGGAAGAAAGGAAGGAAGGAAGGAAGGAAGAAAGATCAGCCACTAAACATCGTGGATTGGTACTGGATGCCTCGACTCCAATAGCCTGATTTTCTTTGGAATTGTAGGTCTAGGGTCTTTCCCCATCATGGAAAATAACAGAAGTTCTTACCTGACTGGTCATCACCACCAAGCCATGGGCAAAGAAGAAGCCTAGTGAGAAAGGGGTCGTTTGGGCCTGGGGGTGGAGGTACTGAGAAGACAGCCAAGTGATTTTTGGGACCATGTACTGATTTTTTTTTTTTTTTTTTGTAATTTTGAATTATTTTTCTTAAGGAGGATTCTCAAATTGTATAAACTTCAGGCTCTACAAAAGCCGGAGCTGCTCCTGCAGGACCCCTGATTTGGACCTGGTTGTGGTCCTGCCTCCCCCAGCACTTTCTATTTTACACTCTTCCTGCCTTTCAGCAGAATCTCACTGGAGACACTGTCTTTCCGCGGAGGATTTGGAGCTCCTAACCCCACCTTCCAAGGTTCAGAGTGGGATTTCCTTATTCTTCTTCCTGAGGTTTCTCAAAGTGTGTTCCACCCGTCCTGTGGGTTCAGGAGGGCCTGGATAAAGTCCAGCTTCTCGGGCCTCGCCCAGACCCACTGGTTCAATCTTGGGGACGGTAGGGAGGTGGGAGGGTGGGGTGCGTCTTTGACAAGCACCCCGGGGAATTCTCAGGCCAGTGAAATGTGAGGGTCCCCCAACAGGATTCTGTCCACTCACCCTGCCCAGTTATCAACCTTGCATTGTTGGTAACTGAAAGATGCCAAGCTGAAGCCACCCGACTCCCTACCCCTGCAGCTGCACCCAGGGGTGACCTCTCAGGGGAATTCCCACCCTGCCAGGCAGGCATCGGCCTTCCCCTCGGGCCTGTCATGCAGGATCCCATTAAACCCTTGGGAACAGTTTTAAGTTTATGGCTGGGCTTGTTTTATGTAAAGATGACAGTTTGCATAGCAGTTTAATGTCTTTGTTTTAACAACCCGGCTGCAGGGTAGCCTTGGCAGCTGGGGCAACTTTCTCTGCAGAACATCACTGGCCCAGGCCTGCGGGGAAAGAGGTGCCGGCTGAGGGGTGTTGTTTTCTACAGGTATGGTCAAGCCCATGAGCCAGCTGAGCCTCTGGGACCTGCTCTGGTCACCACCTAGTGCAGCCCATAGCCTGGTGGGTGTGAGGTGCTCACTGTGTTTTATCTGCGTTGGCTGATTTGTATTTGATGTGATGCCGCCTTTCTTCATGGTTAGAAAATGTAGCTGCCTGGCATGGCCATTTCCTAGGGCTTCCTGGGTGAAGTGAGTCACTTCCCTCCCTGGGTTGAGTGAGTCCCCGGACGCTGGGCTCTGGGAACCTGCTGCTTAAACTGCACTAAATTTATGCCCCCAAGTTTCTTCTGCTTCCCCCAGATAGCTCTTTGTTGCAGCAGCCCGGGGGTGGCAGCAGGAGCGGAGGCGGCCCTGGCAGGCAGAAGCAGTGGCCCCTTGATAAGAGCTGTCAGGCGGCATCCGCTGGAGTGAGACAGTCCCTTGCAGACTTGTGGGGACAAAATTTCCCTTCCAAGCAAGTTCCCATCTGTTTAGAGCCCAGCTAAGCACCCTCAGGTCCACCCCGCTGCCCCACTGCCCAGTGGGGGGCCACTTATCTGACCCAGTCCTTCCCAGCCCCATTTTTCTTGCTCCCTAGTCTACCCCTGGAGGGACTGAACAATACCTCCTCTGTGCCTTTGCTCCCCCAGGTGTCCTTTGTCCTGTCCCAAAGCCTGGGTCTCCCTGCTCCAGCAGACCCACCCTTCTAGGCCTCGCTGCCTCCCACCCTTGGCACTTGACAGAGCAGCTTGTCTGAGCAGGAGGGAATCATTTCATTTCTCCCTGAAGGGCTGCAGAGGCCACTAAGGGGCAGGGACTTGTCCGGAGCCACCCATTGCAGAAGGGGCAGAGAACTCAAGTCTTGGACCCAAGTCCACGGCCACCTAAACACAACCACCATTTAGCGACTTTGCTAAAATATATTTAGAGAATGAATGTGGAGCTGACAACTTTCCTCCCTTCCTCCATCCCTCTCTCCTTTCCTTCCCTGCCTCTGTCCCTTCCTCCCTCCCTCGCTTCTTTCCTCCCATCCTTCTTTTCTCTAGTCAGGACGTTAGAAACAAACAAAGCAATCATCAAACACTTTTATCATTTCACATAGAAAAGGACATTTTAACACCCCCAATCGTAGGAAAGATATAATCTCAGGTAAAGAGCTGTCCTGATCCTCTAGAATCTAGAGGATTCTAGATCCTCTAGAATCTTCTAGAGGTTGTCGCTCCTGGGGAGAGACACTGGGCACCTGAGGGACAGAGGTGTGAGGAAGACTATTACACCACACTCCCTTTTGTATGTCCTGAACTGTGATCTTTTTCAAAGCAAAAACAAAACAAGCAACCCAAGACTGTCCTTACTCTACCAGCACAGCTGACTTGGTAAGTATTTCCTTGTCTTCCTTCTTGTTTATTCGTGGACTAGCGAAGAAGACTTCCGACCAGCCTGTGGCACTGTGGGCAGGCGACCACCTGGGAACTTCTGGCCTCCTCTCCTCAATTCATTTTAAGTTCCATGAGAAAATGGGCCCCACCTTTCATTTCTGGCATCTTTCTCTGTGTTTTTCTCTCCCGCCAGACAACCTGGGGTTGAATCCCAGCTCACCCACTTCCTTGCTTGCTTCTTTGTAGCAAATTTTTTATCTCTCTGTGTCTCAGTTTCCTAATGTATAAAATGGGGCCCATGAGGAAACCAACTTCCAAGGATTGTTGTAAAGTTTTGATGAGACTTGTAAGTGCTCAGCAAATGTCAACTTTTTTTTTTTTTTTTTTTTTTTTGAGACGGAGTTTCACTCTCCTTGCCCAGGCTGGAGTGCAATGGCATGATCTCAGCTCACTGCAACTTCTACCTCCTGGGTTCAAGCCATTCTCCTGCCTGAGCCTCCTGAATAACTGGGATTACAGGCATGCGCCACCACGCCGGCTAATTTTGTATTTTTAGGTTTCTCCACACTGGTCAGGCTGGTCTCAAACTCCTGACCTCAGGTGATCTGCCCCCCTCGGCCTCCCAAAGTGCTGAGTTTACAGGCGTGAGCCACCACGCCCAGCCTCAACTATTTTTAATAGCTATCCATCCTCCTTTCTGTGCCCTCTACCCTTAGCCTGGTGCCTGACTTTGCTCATTCCTTAGCAAATATTTATCACTATAAAATATATACTTGAGTACCAGACATCATGCTGACCCTGCGGAAGACGCAGCCCTTGCTTTCAAGAAATGCACCATCCACCTGACTGACCTTGGAGGAAAAAGTCATTTACTTTGCCTCCAGGGAGGGCAGGACAGATTGAGCAGAGTAGGAGAGTGAGGGCAGCTTTACGCAGAAATGTGAGGCCCCAGAGGACACACAGGGGCTTCTGGAAGTGGAGAAAATCGATGACAGGGTCTTGTTTTCAGGCTAGGGCTGCTGGGCCGTTTTCTTTTTTCTGGCCTTTGCCTAGAAAGTGGAGAGTCTAGGGAGGCTACAAATAACAGTTCGGCGTTCTTATTTCCTTCCCTCTGGTAGAAACTGGAAATCAGTGGCCATCTGTTGTTTAGTCCACTTAAAAGAGGATGTTGAGGCTTGTTTTTTCTTCAGACCCAAGGGTGCTGGGGAGCCCTCCAGTCTCTGCCTTTCTCACACAAGGCGTCTCTGGGAAGGCAGTGGATTGTTGGTCTGCGTGGAACTTCTCAGGTGGACCCCAGAGCATGGAACGTAAGGAATGGCCCCCACCCCTTTCCATGTCAGCAGTCGCCTTGGCCCTGGGTGGGACAGGGGCTGGGAAGAATGTGCTGTGAGGACACAGAGGTGCACAGGTGACTTTGGAAGGGCCAAAAGGAACACTTGGCTTTCTGTGAGGCCTGTGCCCTCGTGTGCAAACGCCACGATGCCCTTTCTGAGTGGAGCCAACCCTCCGTCACCTGCTTTCCTTCTCCTGACTCGGACGCTGGCTATTACTATGATTACTGAAAAACTTTTTTCACTTTTGATGTTATTTCCTGCTAACTGCGGTTCAATCAAATCTCCCCAGCAGGGGAATTGCATGCAGGCGGGGTAGTTATTCTCAGCAGCTAGATACTGGAGCCGATAAACACTTAAGTAATATTTAGATACGATGTTTCCATGACCCAGTTTCTCGGGAGCCTTACACAGATCACCAGTTGTAACAAAATGACTCTCTGATTCCAGATTGGGAGGACGTTTTAAAAAATGTAATACACTTGATGTGGCATAGGTGACAAGAGGTTTTCAGTAAGTTTTGTGGGGTGTGTACTTTCTTTGAAACTTCATTACAAAGTAGAGTATTTTAAAGGTGCACGCCTGTGCATGTGAGTTGTACCAAACCACTTTGGAATTTAGGGTTAATATCTGCCTTTTCCTGGACTTGAATGTTTAATAGCCTGTGAGTTTGAGGGAGTACTTAGGACAAACCTTCTGAGGATGTAAGTTGACTCTGCTGTTGAGGAAACTGGATAGTGAGATATTACTAAAATATTATTTGACTTGGAGAAATTGTCTATGCAGGATAATTACACAGACCTTCCTGCAGATTAACAGCAGAAATCCATGCTGTGAGCATTCATCTCTGATGAGTGTTACAGATGCCTTTTGAGTATGGATTTCCAAGGAATTAATGTCTGGAGAAGGTCTCTGTTAGATATGACATCATAGCATCTATAAATAATGCATCATAAAATAAGCTCCAAGCAACCAGCCCCAGCCATCTGCACTGTGATGCTTCACCCATCCTTGAAATAATGGCTTTTACTGACGCCAGAAGCCACATAGGGCAGCATAAGCATAAATGGAAAACGGATATACATTGTGTTTGTGTGCTAGATGATTCCACCTGGTCTTATGTGACTTTTTTTTTCCTGCATGGATTGGACTCTTACCCAGTTTTCTGTTTTTTCCCCAAAGTGTGATTGTTCTTGGTCTCTTAAAGGCTGTTGTGTTCTGGTCTCTTTGAGTACAAAGATCAGCAGATATAAAAACTAAAAATGGCAGTAGAGCCTTTGGTAAAGAGCATGTACTCTGGAGCAGGAGTACCTGGGTTTGGGCCATGATTTCCCATTTTCTAGCTGGGACCCTTGTGAGTTACTGTGCCTCAGTTTCTTCATCTGCAAAGTGGAAATAACCACATCAGTAGGTTATTGTGAGAACTGAATTATTTAATTCAGGTAAAAGCCTGGAACAGTACCCAGCACGTATATCATTTGCAAGTTTTTCTTTTTTCTTTTTATTTTTTTGAGACAGAGTCTTGCTCTGTCACCAGGCTGGAGTGCAGTGGCACGATCTCGGCTCACTGCAACCTCCGCCTCCCGTGTTCATGCAATCCTCCTGCTTCAGCCTCCCGAGTAGCTGGAATTACAGGCGTGCACCACCACACCTGGCTAATTTTTTGTATTTTTAGTATAGATGGGGTTTCATCATGTTGGCCAGGATGGTCTCGATCTCTTGACCTCGTGATCCGCCCGGCCTCTCAAAGTGCTGGGATTACAGGCATAAGCCACTGTGCCAACCTTTTTTTTTTTTTTTTTTGAGACAGTCTCACTCTGTCATCTAGGCTGGAGTGTAGTAGCACAATCCCGGCTCACTGCAACCTCTGCCTCCTGGTTTCAAGCGATTCTTCTGCCTTAGCCTCCCAAGTAGCTGGGACTATAGGTACCCACCACCACACCCGGCTAATTTTATATTTTTGGTAGAGACGGGGTTTCACCGTGTTGGCCAGGCTGGTCTTGAACTCCTGACCTCATGATCCGCCTGCCTCAGCCTCCCAAAGTGCTGGGATTACAGGCATGAGCCGCAGCGCCTAGCCTTTTTTTTTTTTTTTTTTAAAGATAGATTCTTTTTCTGTTGCCCAGGTTGGAGTGCAGTGGTGTAATCTCAGCTCACTGCAACCTCTGCCTTCCAGGTTCAGGTGATTCTCCTGTCTTAGCCTCCCGTGTAGCTGGGGATTACAGGAGTGCACCACCACACCTGGCTAATTTTTGTATTTTTTGTAGAGACATGATTTTGCCATATTGCCCAGGCTGGTCTTGAATGCCTGGCCTCAAGTGATCCACCCACCTCAGCCTCCCAAAGTGCTGGGATTACAGGTGTGAGCCACCATGCCTGGCCCATTTGAAGTATTAACCATTATTATTAGCTAATGACAGATTAGTCTGAAAATAAATTTGCTGAAAAATATGCAGTTTGCATGCAAAAAATTTGAAGGTCTAAAATGATTTAAAGAGCCTAGAAGCTAAGAAAACAAAACACCAAAAACTTTTATTCAAAACTTGTATTCAAAACTTTTATTGCAAAAATGTTTTACAGCTGAAGTAAACAATGACAACAAAAATCAAACAGCATGATAAAATTGAAACAAACAAATATCACAGGCAGGTCTTCCCTAGCTGGAGAGATCGTAAAACTGCTGGAGAACATGCTTGACATTTTTTCCACCTATTCATATCAGTCCTGCTTTCTTGTGTAATCTCTCTGAATTGGAAGCTTTTATCAATGAAAAGGGATAGAAGAATATTGGAACTTTGTGGATCCAGGTACCAGTAGTTGGGCACCTGGGAAATCTTGGTTTTGCTTTATTCTTAAGTTCAGAAGTAAACCTGTTTTGCTATTGAGAAAGAGTATTTATTTCTTCTAATATTACTAGACTGGTTGTAACATTTATGTATGTATGTATGTATGTATGCATGTATGTATGTATTTACTTACTTACTTTAACCTGCTTCCCCTTCCCCCTTGGTTGTAACATTTTTTTCTCTCTTTTTTTTTTTTTTCTCTGAGACGGAGTCTCTGTCACCCAGGCTGGAGTTCAGTGGTGCAATCTCAGCTCACTGCAGCCTCCGCCTCTCGGGTTCAAGCAATCCTCCTGCCTCAGCCTCCTGAGTAGCTAGGATTACCAGTTCGTGCCACCACGCCCAACTAATTTTTGTGTTCCATGTTGGCCAGGCAGGTCTTGAACTTCTGACCTTGTGATCTGTCAGCCTCAGCCTCCCAAAGTGCTGGGATTATAGGTATGAGCCACTGTGCTGGGCCTCTTTTCTTTTTTTATGATTTTGTTTGTTTTTTTGTTTTATTGAGACAGCGTCTGGCTCTGCCACCCAGGCTGGAGTGCAGTGATGCAGTATCAGCTCACTGTAGTTTCTGCTTCCTGGGCTCGAGCGATCCTTCCACCTCAGCCTCCTGAATAGCTAGGACTACAGGCCCACACCACGATGCCCACCTAATTTTTGTGGTTTTTTTTTGTTTGTTTTTGTTTTGTTTTGTTTGAGACGTAGTCTTGCCCTGTCACCCAGGCTGCAGTGCAATGGCGCCATCTCGGCTCACTGCAATTTCCACCTCCCGGGTTCAAGCAATTCTCCTGCCTCAGCCTCCCGAGTAGCTGGGATTACAGGTGTGCACCACCACGCCAGGCTAATTTTTTGTATCTTTGGTAGAGATAGGGTTTCACCATGTTGGCCAGGCTGGTCTCGAACTCCTGACTTCATGATCTGCCCACCTCTCCCTCCCAAAGTGCTGGTGTGAGTCGCCATGCCTGGCCTAATTTTTGTATTTTTTGTGGAGACGGGAGTTTGCCATGTTGCCCAGGCTGGTCTTGAACTCCTGAGCTCCAGCAATCAGCCTGCCTTGGCCTCCCAAAGTGCTGGTATTACAGGCATGAGCCACCCCGCCGGTGGGCGGGGGCGGGCGGATCGTAACATTTAAAGTGAGCTGAGATGGCTTAGGAATTTATTACTTAGTGTGTCCCCTGGGCAGGGGACCCTGAGTTGCAGAAGTGCCCTCGGCCTAAGGGCTATCCCTGTCTGCTCAGTCATATTGGAGGCTGGGGATAGCGACTTGGAAAAGAGAGATGCCACTTGGCGAGTGGAGTTTGCAAATGCTGTCTCATCAAGATCTGTCTATACTGATATCAGTCAAGATGGATTTTAGAAGGGTGGGGTGCAATAGCCAGAAGCCTTCAACTCGAAAGACAATCAGGAAGTCTTAGAAAAATTCAAACCAACATTTCTGGAGAAAATAAAAACTTATGACAGATAGAGAGTGGGTATCTCAGATAGAAGGATCTTCTATGCCACTTATGGGGACAGAAGGTGGGCAAAAGCAAGAAGGAATTACTCTTTATCTAGAGCACCAAAGCCAGAAAACCAATACCCATGGCTATAAAGAGCAGCTCCATCTCGGTGTACTTTCTGACCCGCCCCTGAAAATTCCATGCTCTTCTGTAATAGTGTCCATTGTAAATGTGTTTCATGACATGTGATAGAAGGGAGATGTTAGCCCAGGAGGCAGTGGAATGGAAGGGCCCATCGGTTTTCTAACTGTGTTCCCAGGAGCCCTGGGATTCTGCAGACATGGCCCTGGTGAGGACAGCTGATGTCCCACACAGGTCCCCGTATTGGGTCCATCCGGTGATTCATTAGCTGCATCACCTTGGCTAGGCCATTTTATCTTCTGGATTTTTGCTTCCCAGTCTATAAAATGAGGTGGTGGGGGAGGTGGGGTTGGACCACATTAGCGTGCTTTGAGTTGTAAAACTTTTTGTTCAAATGAAAACAGACACACAAACCTAATGTGCAAAAATGATTAGAGTATGAAATAAAGGGTGGGGGTTGGCGATTGTCTAACAGTGAGGTCAACTCTCTTAACTCTCAGACACTCTGTTGGCTAAATGGTAATCTACTGTGTGTATTTATTTGCAAGACGGTGTGACAGTGAAAACTCAAACATGGTCTGGTTTATTATGGAAAAGAGTGTCCAGAGTTTTGGAATCCTTTCAGACCAAGGTTGAAAACTTATGGCCAAAGTGGTTCTGCCATGGCAAGAGAAATTTGCAGCTGCCTAGATTGTTCCTGGAACAGTGAACTTGTGTCTCTAGATTTATTTACTTAAGAGAAGATCTGCTGGGGAAATGGAGTAAATTGTCAAACTGTATTCTCTGGGCGAAGAGCAGAAGAGTAAATTAGTGGAATGCTTGGCAGAATGAACCCTGCTGCAGAAATTTCTTGTAATAATGATCTTTTAATTGGATTTATACTTTGTTGGAAAGAAACTCAGTGTTCAGGAGCTTGCCACTGCGGCATTTACAAAGAGAGCAGGGAACTAATTTAATATCCACGAACTGGAGGGTCACTTTAGAAAAGCATCAGCTCCATTTGGTGATGTGTTTAAGTGAGTTTGCTTCATGGTTAGAGGAAAGGATTTGCCCCAAATAATTCTCTTATGTACTCTATTGCCAATGAGCATTGAAGCATGGTCCCTGCCGGGTTTCTGAGTTTCTGCTTTATTGATGATTGATTGATTGATTAAGACAGGGTCTGTCATCCAGGCTGAAGTACAGTGGCCCAATCATGGATCACTGCAGCCTTGAACTCCTGGGCTCAAGCTATCCTCCCGCCTCAGTCTGTCCAATAGCTGGGACTAAAGGTGCATGCCACTATGCCCAGCTAAGTTTTGTATTTTTTGTACACACAGGATTTCACTATGTTGCCCAGGCTGGTCTTGAACACCTGAGCTCGAGCGATCTGCCCACCTGGGCCTCCCGAAATGCTGGGGTTATAGGTGTGAACCACCGTGCCCAGCCTAGTTTTTAAATATTTTATAGGGATGGGGTCCCACTATGTTGCTCAGGCTGGTCTTGAACTCCTGAGATCAAGCCATCCTCCTGTCTCAGCCTCCCAAGGTGTTTGGATTATAGGCGTGAACCACTGTGCCCAGCCAGCCTGGTTCTAATTTAGCTCATGTCATCTGGTGAATGTCTGAAATCCTGGTAGTTTCCCCGAGTGCTTGGATTCGGAGTCCCAGGGGATCAAGAAATCAACGTGTATTTTGACCCCCCATAGAACATCAGAGATCACAGGAGCTGTCACTATTAAGTAAGTCCAGTGTGCTCTGATACAGATTTTCTCCAAAACCATTTTTAGCTGTGTGGCCCCCTAGCTGTTTGCAGCAATTAATATTTAGGAGACTTTGTTTTAAAAAAAAATATCATGTACAAGTGATTTGCTTTGCTGATTTATTTATTTATTTATTTATTTATTGAGACAGAGTCTTGCTCTGTCACCAGGCTGGAGTGCAGTGGCGCGATCTCAGCTCACCGCAACCTCCGCCTCCCGGGTTCAAGCAATTCTCCTGCCTTAGCATCCCAAGTAGCTGGGATTACAGGCATCCACCACCATGCCTGGCTAATTTTTATATTTTTAGTAGAAACAGGGTTTCACCATTTTGGCAATGATGGTCTCGATCTCTTGACCTTGTGATCTGCCTGCCTCGGCCTCCAAAAGTGCTGGAATTACAGGAGTGAGCCACCACGCGCGGCCTTGCTGATTTCTTAATTAAAAGTTTATTTTCTCCTAGATTCAAACTTTTTTTTTTATAGAAATATGTCTCTAGTTAAAAAAAAAAAAAGTCAGTGGGGAAAAAGTGTTAGTTATAGAAGTAGTTTGCTTGATAGATGGCTATTTTAGGGATGGGGAGAAAGGAACTCACATTTGTTGAGCGTCTACTGTGTCCCAGGTGTGCTGCTAGGTGCCTAATGTGCTTCCGTTTTTGAATCCTTATGATAACCCAAGAGATGGGGGATGATTTTCAAATATACACAAGATTTTGCCCAAGATCCTATAGTTTTGAATCGGGGAAACTGGTTTTGTTTTGTTTTGTTTCGTTTGAGTCGGAGTTTCCCTCTTGTCACCCAGGCTGGAGTGCAGTGGCACGACCTTGGCTCAGTGCAACCTCTGCCTCCCAGGTTCAAGTGATTCCCCTGCCTCGCCTCCCAAGCAGCTGGGACTATAGGCACCCACCACCACACCCGGCTAATTTTTGTATATTTAGTAGAGACGGGGTCTCACCATGTTGGCCAGGCTGGTCTTGAACTCCTGACCTCAAGTGATCCACCCGTCTCAGCCCCCTAAAGTGCTGGGATTACAGGCGTCAGCCACCGTGCCTGGCCAGGAAACTGGGTTTTGAACCTGGCCCCATCTGAAGTGACATTCCATGGTTCTTCCTTGACTCCAGGAAGGGATCACATGCCATAGAATGAAGCATGCTTTCATTGTTCCCTCCTCCCGCAGGCAGAGAAGCAGCTGAAGTGTGTTATTTGGAGATTCCCCATCCCCCACAGGAGACTTCTCAGTGTCTTGAGTCAGAGAGTGCAGTGGAAGATGTGCAGATGCAAAGAGTTTTCATCCATTTTCTCTGTGTACCAAAATGTAAGAGGGTTGCCAAAAACCTCAGGCATCAGGATAAATGATATTTATTTATGTATTTATTATCATTATTTTTAGATGGAATCTTGCTCTGTCGCACAGGCTGGAGTGCAGTGGCGTGATCTTGGCTCGCTGCAACCTCCGCTTCCTGGGTTCAAGCATTTCTCCTGCCTCAGCCTCCCAAGGAGCTGGGATTACAGGCGCATGCCACCACACCCAACTAATTTTTGTATTTTTAGTAGAGATGAGGTTTCACTCCTGACCTCTGGTGATCTGCCTGCCTTGGCCTCCCAAAGTGCTGGGATTACAGGTGTGAGCCAGGGCACCCAGCCTATAAATGACATTTAATGCGGTGTTTTAAAAGATCAAAATGAATGCAAAAACATTCGTGATGAACAAAATATCTGAAGTTTAATAAAGTCAGGAAAAAATAACAGTGTAATGCTGAGCCATATTGGACCCTGAAGCAAAAGGAAAAATCAATATAACTGATCCTGTCTTTATTTAAAATTTGGAAAATTTGGGTATTTTGTTCATCTGGATTTTTTAAGCACAAATTTTGATTTTTTAAAAAGGTATTGCCTGAGGAACCAGGCGCGGTGGCTTATGCCTGTAATCCCAGCACTTTGGGATGCTGAGGTGGGCGGATCACCTGAGGTCAGGAGTTCGAGACCAGCCTGGCCAACATAGTGAAACCCTGTCTCTATTAAGAGTACAAAAATTAGTTGGGCGTGTTGCTAATCGCCTATAATCCCAGCTATTCGAGAGGCTGAGGCAGGAGAATTGCTTGAATCTGGGAGGCAGAGGTTGCAGTGAGCCGAGATTGTGCCACTGCACTCCAGACTGGGTGACAGAGTGAGACTCTGTCAAAAACAAACAAACAAACAAACAAACAAACAAACAAACAAAGCTATTGCCTGAAATGACATTTATCTTGATGCCTGGGTATTCTGGCAACCCTCTGACATTTTGCACCATCATGTGGGTCCAATCCTGCAATGAGTTTTTTAATCTCTATGCCAGGTAATGAACTAGGTGCTAGAGGTACAAGATGAGGACATATAGGAGCCTTCAGACTAGTGGGAGTCAGTCATGTAAATAGTCACAACAGAGCATCATAATTGTAAGTCTGTGCACAAAGCGCTATGGGGAAGCAGTTGCTGTTGAATCATGGTTCTCTGGGAGGAGGGTTTGAGGGTGACTTGAGGGCTGCCTCCGAATTGGCCAGTGGACACGAGAGTAGGGGAAGGATTTGGTGGGAAATGGCAGGTCCCTTCATCCCTCTGAGCCTCAGTTTACCCCATCTGTAAAATGGAGGAAATAGTAGTGCCTGCCTTACAGGGTTGTGTGACAAGAATGAGTCCATCATGTTAAGCACTTAGAACAGAGCCTGAGACATAACTTGGTTTATGTCAGCCGTGATGGTGATGGCAGTACTGACCATTGCATGCAGATTTCTTAAAATGACAGTGTATTTTGGCCACATGTGCAATCTGAACTTTGCTTTGCAGACATCCATGACAGTGATGGTAGCTCCAGCAGCAGCCACCAGAGCCTCAAGAGCACAGCCAAATGGGCGGCATCCCTGGAGAATCTACTGGAAGACCCGGAAGGCGTGAAAAGATTTAGGGTTTGTCTTTTTCATTGTTAATCAGGATGGATGCCGTATGTGCGGAAGTTCTGATGCACGCAGGGGAGAAATAGGCCAGTTCAGCATTGTGTATCAGCTTAGCACTCTCTATGCCAGCTTAAGAGTTTAGTACTGTCAATCCCAGCTTGAGGGTGAGACTTTCTCATCTGTCATGACTGTGTTGGCAACGCTGTCACAGATGGGCAGCCTGTTTCTGGTTTTTGTGTAGTGAGGTGGGAGGGGTACAGGGTGGGAGGAGAGAGAAGGTGCCATGCCCACTGGTGGAGTCTGTATGAGGAATTCCCAGCTCTGGGTCTCTCTGATGTGAAGGCTTTTTCTCTCGTGCTTGGAGGATTCTCAGAATGCATTGTTGACAGACCGAGAGAGACTGGCAATGCGAACTTGGCAAAGGGACCTCCGAGAGCAGGGCTGATGGATGGGGAACTGTCGATGCCATCTAGAAATAACTTTTCTGACCAGCAGAAGCCCCCAGTGCCAAATGGAAGACCACGTGTGTATTTCAAGAATGAGTCCTGGTCACTTCTGTCTTTAAGTCTTGGGTCAGGAATAGGATGAGTCCTCATGCAGTTGGTCCCTGTTGGGGCTCCCAGGGAGGGAGTGGCATGTGGTACTAGGCTTCTAGTTCCTGGTCACCAGGCCACTGTGGGCAGTGTTTGCAACTCAGGAGGTGTCTGCACAGCAGAGGAGCTGGCGGTGCCATGGACTGCCCAAGATCGGCTGTAAGAAAACACACATAATTCCAACTTCAAATAGTTTGTGTCATGGTGTCTTTACACATGCTTAATGTGTTTTCTTTTCTTTTGTTTAAAAAAAAAAAAAAAAAAGAGCCTGAGTTTAGAGGCATGTACTTTGTTTAAACACCCTCTGGAGGGAACCAGTATATCTTCCACTTTAATTTACTTTTTGGTAATTTATTGTCAGCTTAGAAATATGAGTAAATTCCTGCTTCATTTGTACTCTTCTTTACAACGTCAAAACCATTCAGGTCAAATGCATATGAAATTACAGCTTTAACATTAAACATACTCATTTGCTTTTCAGAGTGGAGTTTTCGATGGGTAATTGGACCATGCTCCTCTGTTGAATTTTGCCAAATCAGTCTTTGAAGGGAAATGCCATTTGTTTTATTATTTTTTTTAGAAGTAGAATACTGTGTGACTCTTTTTCTTTGTATCCACAGGAATTTTTAAAAAAAGAATTCAGTGAAGAAAATGTTTTGTTTTGGCTAGCATGTGAAGATTTTAAGAAAATGCAAGATAAGACACAGGTATTTCCTCCACTCTGTAATCACTTTCTTGATAATTTTTTCCCCTTTCCTTACAAAGTTATACAACTGCCTTTCCAATAGATTCTGAAGTTGCCTAAAGATCCCCGATTCATATTAGTTTTGGGGGAAGATTTATTTTTCAGATTAGGTACCTTGTGTTGATCAAATATTAATCTTTTTAAAAGGGTGAGTTAACCCATTTTTAAATGGAGCTGTTCAAATGGACCAATATTTAAAATAAAAATAACAATTTATGTCATTTAGAGTTCCTCATTGCATAGAATTTTTTTCTTCATGAATAAGTTATGAGGATGTTTCCCCCAGATTTTGACATGTTATCATTTTTGGACATGGTAAAACGATACGTAGATGCGTAATGATAAAAGCACAAGGTGCATCAGAGGGATTGTCAATAATTCAATATATCGTACTGAGCGTCCCGTAGTTGGCGAGCATCCTGTGGAGAAAGTCTCTGACTGTTCTCCTGGGTAGATGCCTCCTCTTTGCCTTCATTCCCAGTGTCAGCTGGTTGGGTATGAGGGAGGGTAGATGAGATTATGGGGAAGGAGGCCTGTGCCCTGGGTGGGTTTATGAGGCCTGGCCCTGCATCTTTCTAAGAGGCTGCTGGCTAAATGCCTGCAGGAGCCAGTAAGTCATATGAATGAAGGAGGCTCCTAGTGTGAGGCTGGAGGGAGTGTTGGGGACTGGGGCCAGCTAAGGACATTCTGTCTGCCTGCACAGGCTGCGGCTGGTGGTTTAGGGCCTGTGGCTGTCTGGGCTTCCCTTGCTTCAGGTTCTGTCTCCGCCAACTTACTGATGGCGATCTCCTAGATCTTTGCTTGCCTTGGGACCCTGGGGCCTTTCTTCCCACGGCATCTCTTATATTCTACCTAGTGCTGCCTGTTTTTCTAAAGAAGCTGGACATTTGGATCCTTATGTGAAACCAGATGATTTTTAAATGTTGGAACTAATTTTAAAAAAATTTAAAACTTTGCCTGCCAAACAAAACATACCCACGGGCAGATGCGGCTTGTGAGTTTCCAGTTTTTGAGCCTTCGTCTCCAAAAGCTGGAATCCACGGGCCAGGAGCTGTGAGGCATTTGCAGACAACTGCTTGGAAAATGTACATCATGGGTTTATTCACAGGCCTTTCAGGGCGCAGACACACATCCCCCCAGATGGCACAGCACGGCCTTTTCTCTGCCACCTTCCTCTCCGGAGGTGGCAAGGGAGGATTCTAAGATGGATTCTCTTTGACTTGAATTTCCCAGGCCCACCTAGAAAGCATTGCTGGGCGTGGCCCTTGGGTTTGGCTTTCTGACTTCTTCTCTCCTCACGGTCTCCTCTGGATGACGTTGGCCAGAGCCTCCTGGGTGGAGAAGGGCCTCAGGGGAAGGTGAGAAGCAGGTGGTGGGAGATGCTTTGGAATGCTAGGATTCAAGCTGAGAGCCTTCAGCACAAGAGCCTCGTCTTTGTCCTTTGTCCCCAGCACCGAGGACAGGGCCCGGGGACCACCATCGATAAATGCTAGACTGTGCCACTGCTGCGACCTGCCTCACTGTAAAATCCTAGCTCAGAGTCAAGCAAGCAAACAGATGTCTATTCCCCTGCCTTATTCTTTTGAGTATTAGAGGTAGGAGGGGCCTGTGGGTGGGCCGGTCCGCCCCTGCTGTGTAGACAAGGAAGTGAGGTCCCCGCACCATGGCAGAGCTAGGACTTGAACCAGCTCCCTGAAGTCAGCCGTTGTTCTCTGCACCACCATGCTGCTGTGTGCCTCCTTCAGTTGAATTCCCCAAATCTTTGTGAAGTGCCTGCTTGGTGCCTGGCACTGAACAGGAGGCAGCCCAGGGACAGACAGGTGAGCGGCTCCGGGGAAAGGGTGCCTCGAGCGGAGCAAGCCTGTGCAAGTGCGATGAGTATAGAGATGGGGAGCACTTGTGTCGTGGGAGCAAGGCGGGGGCAATGGGGAGGGATCCAGGGGAAGTGGCTGTTTAGCTGAGACTTGGCATTGAGATCGGGAGGGCGTTCCCGGGAGCAGGGACAGTGTGTGGGCAGGCAGGGCTGGCAAGAAGAGCTGAGGGAAGACCACAAGGGATGAGTGGCATGTTTGAGGGGGAGGCCGCTGTGCTGTGCTTCAGGCTGACAGGGCAGCCACACCTGGGGACCTGGGTGCCAAGGTGAGCGGGACTGGGAAAGCCCCTGCAGGACTTCAGTGGAGTGGTTGGAAGGAGGGGTCAAACTTTCGATGTGCCGCTTCCAGCCTTTCAGGTCAGGCAGGTCTGGTGTTGGGTTGCTCTGCCCTGTCCACATCCTAAAGAGAGAGCTTCCAGAACGGGCAGTCCCTTTCCCTGCCTGTACCCCTGACATCCAGCACAGGACTTCTTTTCTTTTTTTGAGACAGGATCTGACTCTGTTGCCCAGGCGGGAGTACAATGGTGCGATCTTGGCTCACTGCAGCTCCTCCTCCTGGGTTCAAGCGATTCTCCTGCCTCAGCCTCCCTAGTAGCTGGGATTACAAGCGTGTGCTACCATGCTTGGCTAATTTTTGTATTTTGAGTAGAGACAGGGTTTCACCATGTTTGCCAGGCTGGTCTCGAACTTCTGACCTCAAGTGATCCGCCTGTCTTGGCCTTCCAAAAAGCTAGGATTACAGGTGTGAGCCACTGCGCTCGGCCCAGCATAGGACTTCTTGAAAGTCTGTGTCCTTAAGCCTGGAATGCACCTGGCAATTGCTTTGGTGCAGTGAATGCCACCCTCCCGTCACTGCCTGAGAATGCAGATTGGGTGGAGGCATTGGTGACACCTGGGGTGTTTGGCCTGGAGTGTTTGGGCTCCAATGTGAGTCATCGTTCCCATTCGAAGATGCAGGGATATGATCTGAGTGGCTAAGCAGCAGCTCGCCCGAGGCTGGGCACAGTGGCTCACGCCTGTAATTCTAACACTTTGGGAGGTCGAGGTGGGTAGATCACTTGAGCCCAGAAGTTCGAGACCAGCCTGAGCAACATGGTGAGACCTTGTCTCTACAAAAAAATACCAAAAAAAAAAAAAAAAGCGTTAGCTAGACATGATGGGTTGTGCCTGTAGTTGCCTGGGGAGGTCAAGGCTGGAGTGAGGTATGATTGTGCCACTGAACTCCCGCCTGGGTGACAAAATGAGACCCTGTCTCAACAACAACAAAAAAAGAATTCAGAGCCACATTTCTGACTCCAGGCGTTCCCTAGTGAGTCCCACTGCCTAGGAAGTAAAACCAGGCAGTAAGCTCGAAATTACTACAGAAAGTGTGGGGCAGCATAGGCACCGGGAGAAGTTGCCTAACTGAATTTCCTTCTTTACTTGTTTTTGTTTTTGTTTTTGTTTTTGAGACGGAGTTTTGCTCTTGTCGCCCAGGCTGGAGTGCAGTGGCGCGATCTCTGCTCACCGCACACTCTGCCTCCTGGGTTCAAGTGATTCTTCCGCCTTAGCCTACCGAGTAGCTGGGATTACAGACGTGTGCCACCACGCCTGGCTAATTTTTGTATTTTTAGTAGAGACGGAGTTTCACCATGTTGGCGAGGCTGGTCTCAAACTGCTGACCTCAGATGATCCGCCCACCTCGGCTTTTCGAAGTGCTGGTACTACAGACATGAGACACCGCGCCTGGCCAGTTGTTTTTAATCCTCTGTTGTGCACTTAACCTAACTGGATTTCACAGTCAAATTTATCACATCTGTTCCAGCAGGGAGACTGTGGGAGGATTTTTCTCTCTCCATCAACTAAGGCAGTTGAGGGGTCGATACAAATCCCACTCTCGCCTCCGTTGTTTTAACACCAACTTTGCGTATCCATGTCATTTACTTGCCCATCTTCTGTGTGGTTTGTCTTCTGGGATCTGGGAGTGGGGGGCCGCTTCTTCCCCACTGTCTCCGAGAGTCTAGACCCATGCCTGACACATGGTGAACGTCCTTCCTCTTTGTAGGACGAAGGCATTCCATTTCCTGGATCCAAGTCCTCTTCTCTCCTGAGTCATTCCCTCATTTTGGGAACAGCACACGAGAATGACTTCTTCCCTCCAGAATGACTCACAAGAGAAGAGCCCAAAACACAGCCGGCAATAGCTTCCAGAGAAGGGGGTCTGGCAGGTAGATATGTAAAGACCTTGTTGAGTGGAAATGTTATTTTTTCCCCTACTCTCCTACTTTACTGAAAATCTGACAGAGCGTAGAATTCTGGGGTGAAACACACTTAGAAGTTTGAAGACATCGTCTCTTAGTCTTCTACTTTTGTTGAGAATCAGTAATTTATATGTAAACTGTTCTGTTTTTTTTTCTTTTTTTCCCTCTCCGGGATAGTACAGGAGCTATTTTCTTTTCTTTCCTTTTCTATTTTTCCCCTTCCCTCCCTCCCTCCCTCCCTCTCTCTTTCTCTCCCTCTCTCTTTCTTTCTTTTTTTGATGGAGTTTTGCTCTTGTTGCCCAGGCTGGAGTGCAATGGTATGATCTCAGCTCACTGCAACCTCTGTCTTCCAGACTCAAGCGATTCTCCTGCCTCAGCCTCCCAAGTAGCTGGGATTACAGGCGCCCTCCACCACACCCAGCTAATTTTGTATTTTTAATAGAGATGGGGTTTCGCCATGTTGGTCAGGCTGATCTCAAACTCCTGACCTCAGGTGATCCACATGCCCTGGCCTTCATAAGTGTTGGGATTACAGGTGTGAACTACCACGCCCAGCAATTTTCTTTTCTTTTTGAGACAGGGTCTCACTCTGTCACCCAGGTTGGAATATAGTGAGGTCATGGCTCTTTGCAGCCTGGACCTCCTGGGTTTAAGCAGTCTCACCATGTTGCTTAGGAATGAAAAGAAATTTCTTTTCATTCCTAAGCAACCCTCTCTCCGGCCAGGTTTACAGTGCTCACGCCTGTAATCCCAGCACTTTGGGAGGCCGAGGCGGGCGGATCACGAGGTCAGGAGATCGAGACCATCCTGGCTAACACGGTGAAACCCCGTTTCTACTAAAAATACAAAAAATTAGCCGGGCGTGGTGGTGGGCGCCTGTAGTCCCAGCTACTCGGGAGGCTGAGGAAGGAGGATGGCGTGAGCCCGGGAGGTGGAGCTTGCAGTGAGCCGAGATTGCACCACCGCACTCCAGCCTGGGTGACAGAGTGAGACTCCGTCTCAAAAAAAAAAAACTAATTAATTAATTAATTAATTTTAAAAAAAGAAATCCTCTCTCCTCAGCCTCCCAAAGTGCTGGGATTCCAGGTGTGAGCCACTCCACCTGGTCAGGATCTTTTCATCACTAGTATTCTAAAACTCTTCAGTCAGGGGCTTTGGAGGCAGAGGCGGGTTCATTCATTGTGTGAATTCTTTGTGGAGCCTTATAATCTGGAAATCTGTAGTTCCAGGAAATGGTCTTATGTTGTTATTATTATTATCATCATTTTGGTAACTTTTTTTCCTTCCATTGTCTCTGGTCTCTTTTCCAATGATGACCTTTCACTGATGCATTGAGCCCTTAATTTCATGTTTTATTCTTCCTATTTAAAATTTTTTTTTTTTTTTTTTGGCTTTTGGAGATTTTGACTTTATCTTCAGATCCTCCTATTGAGTTTTTCCTGCTTTTTTGTTTTCTCCAGACAAGGGCCCTCTAGTCTGTTCCTAGGGGGCCACAAGGCTGATATGTTCCTAAACTGAACATATTTCTAATTAACTTTCAGGAGAAGTTTCCTAGGGGGTCTATATTTGGAATTTCCCTGAATCCCTTTATTGTGTTCGGCATCTCATTCTTGCCATCCTCTGTGCCTCTGTTCTGGAGCCTCCCTGGGTCTGTTTCTTTAGAAAAGAAAACTTGACTCTTCTGTTGAAGGTGGGGAGGGAGCCACCTGTCTGCTCAGGGTTGGTGGTGGGGGTGGAGGACCTGGAGGTCTGATGGCTTCTTTCTGCCACTCTCATCAATTCCATTGGGCTACCCGATGCCCTCGAGCTCCTGCCGTCTGGACGCGCTTCTCGTCGGCACCCCCTCCTCACCCGTGCAGGGGCTTGAGTTCATTCTTCTGAGTCTCTGCCAAGTCATCTGCTGTTCCTCCGACTGCTTCCCGTTTCCTGAGCCAGTTCTTGAAAATATTCTCGTATCGTTTATTGGATATTTTCTTTGCCTCTTTCTCTTTCTGAAATTGATATTAGTAAAGTTAGTGTCTTGATCCTTTCATTTTCCTAGGAATTATCTCCCACATTCCATCTCTGGAAGAAGACGGGGTAGAGGGGAGCCGGAGGCCAGCAGATGGGATGGGAGTGGGATTCGAGAGCTGGCGTCTGGCTGAGCATTGTCACAGCTGAGGCACTGCCAGGCCTCGAAGAAGGGCCCCAGCCTTGTGGGGTGCCTGGAAGGTGCTCACTGGGGTGCAGGTGCTTTATGGGCAGTCCCCGAGTGGATGGGCTCAGGTGGGACCCTTCTCCAGTGCCTGCCAGGATAGCCTCAGATGCTGGACACTTTGGGTCTCCCCAGGGAGAACGGGGCTCTCTGGTCCAGGCTGTGGCCAGCCACGTGTGTCAGGGCCATGGAAGAGAAGTCAGACATCCTTCCAGGCCACAGACACAGAATCAACTCCACCAGCTCTGTGCCTGCCCTGACAGTAGCTAGAATAGAGTTAACAAAGCTCTGGAAAAATCTACCAAAATAGCTCCAGAGACTGGTTCTTCTTTTCTGCTCCTGTTCTCGGTCTGGACACCAGGCCTTCCCGTGACTGGCTTGTGGTCGCCGTCTCAGGGTTTCCCTTTTCAGTCACACTTCCTAGCTCCGCCGAGATAAGCTGAGCCCTGCAGCCGCTTACGGTCTGAAGCTGGTCAGCCAGGGCCTGGACCCCGACACTGTTCTCACACAGGCTCGGGAGGGACAGCCGGTGGGAGAGGGCAGGGCTGAGATCCTTAAGGCTTATCTACCTGCAGTCACCGGAACCTACTTCCTTTCCCCCGGCCCCTTCTGCCCCACCTCAAAGACTCAATCCATTCATTGCACTTTTCTATTTCAGAATCACTCAAGATATCCTGGATTCATGTGTGTATGTGTGTGCGTGTGTGCACGTGTGTGCGTGTGTGTGTGCATATTCAAGCGGAGGGGAGGTCTAAAGTGATTTCTACCCCCAGACCTCTGCATGGAGTTTGCTCATCTGCCTGGCTGAAATTCTCCTTTCATGAAGTGGCTTTAACACAGGAAGTGGTTTTCCAAAAGCGTCGCTTCCTGACGGAATGGGGGTGGTGGGAGGGAGGCTGTGGCTTCATGGAGCTGGTGGGTCTTAGAGAGGACAGCAGGGCCAGCTCCTAAGTGCCACCCCCTTGGGTCTCGAGGATGGCCCCCAGACCTGTCCCTTAAATAGCCACGCTTGTCTGGAGAGACTCCTGTGTCACTGAGTCTGGCATCAATTCATTGCTCCTATTGACAGCAGAGGCAGGGTGGACAGCATGGCTTTCGGTGTGCACCCAGCCTGGGCCATCTCCCTGCAAGTGCTGGTGAGGCTTGCTTTCTCGCAGAACAGGACATGGCCAGGCCGCGGCTTCTCAGGATCTTTTGTCCTCAGTGCCCTGAACTGAAAAAGGGATCCTCTTCCTTCCTTTCATGCACCAGCTATCAAAACCTTCTGGTGGTTTCCTTAAGGGCAGAAGGTTTGCAGAGCTTGGGATTTCCCAAACCAAGCGCCACAGCACATGTGGAGCCCCAGGTGGGCTCTTGGAGAGAAAGGCAGTTTTCCAGGCACCCCTGCACACATAGGTCGTAGCTGTGTGACTGCATTTTAGAGGCATTTGTTGTCTGCCGTGCTCTGTAGGGTAAGGTCATGCTTTAGAGTCTAACGTTCAGAGAAACAGCCCCGTTTTTGCTGTTGGTGAGGTGTGAGCACAGGAAGTCTCCTTTCTCTAAGAGAAAATCGAGCCCTCAGGGGAGGTTCTGGAGAAGGCTCCTGCGCCTGCAGCCTCGCCCTGAGGCGTGCTGTCCTGAAGACACAGTTCTTACTGTGAAGTCATCTCCTTACCATCCGTGAGTGCTCCTGAGCCCGCCTCGGTTAGTTTCGGGTGAAACAGGAAGCCGGTACCTATCGGGGCTCCTGCTTCCCAGCAGGACTGCACTCGGGACTTGAGGGCGGGCAGCGAGTGTTTTCTCCACTGCCTGTGCTCAGTATCTCGTTACCTAAAAGGAAATCACCCTGCCTGGGAAGGCCGCAGACCGCACAACCTGGAGGGGCCGATGTGTCTTGCAGAAGTGGAACTGAGCAGAATTCAGAGGCCTTGGAGCCAAACAGTCCTAAGGCTCCCAGAAGCTTTCGGATAAGCCATGCCACCTCTCCTGACCTCTGTGTCCTCATGGGGAAAGTGGCATTAACAGGAAAATGCCCTTTGCTGCATGTCCAGGGGATTAAGGAAATGGGATGCCTCCAAGCAGGTGTCTGCGGCCTAGTGGGCACTGGATAACTGGTAGGGATAGGCGTGCATACTTTCACTTGATTTTTTTTTTTTTTTTTTTTGAGATGGAGTCTCACTCTGTCACCCAGGCTGGAGTTCAGTGGGGCAATCTCAGCTCACTGCAACCTCTGTCTCCTGGGTTCAAGCTATTCTCCTGCCTCAGCCTCCCAAGTAGCTGGGATTACAGGTATGCACCACCATGCCTGGCTAATTTTTGTGTTTTTAGTAGAGATGGGGTTTCACCATGTTAGCCAGGCTAGTCTCGAACTCCTGACCCCAGGTGATCCACCTGCCTTGGCTTCCCAAAGTGCTGGGATTACAGGCGTGAGCCACTGTGCCCGGCCACAGGATGGTTGTAAATGGTACTGAGTGCTCTCTGCGGGCCAGGATTCTTTCTGTCATGGCTTCTGGATGGTTAATGCAGCAATTTTGTTCCAGGAGATGTGGCTGCGGGGTAGGGGCTTGGCAGTGCAAGTTCTCCTATATAGAAATTCTCTCTGGAGTGGCCTGAGAGCCCCCGGGCTGTGGGGGGTGCCTTTCTCTTGCCACAGCAGCTCCTGTGGGCCTGGCTGGAGGGGAGAGCAGGGCTCAGGCTGGGAAGGCTGTGTGTGCAGATAGCACACAGGCCCCATCTGTCTCCTCCAGATGCAGGAAAAGGCAAAGGAGATCTACATGACCTTTCTGTCCAGCAAGGCCTCATCACAGGTCAACGTGGAGGGGCAGTCTCGGCTCAACGAGAAGATCCTGGAAGAACCGCACCCTCTGATGTTCCAGAAACTCCAGGACCAGGTAACCTGACTTCCCTGCCTGCGCCTTGATTTGAAAACCTACATTAATTCCAGGCCTGGAAGAATTTAGTGAAACACCCAATGTTAGACTCCCGGGAAACCATCTCATCCGGCCGGGCAGACCGAGGTACACTGAGGGGCCATGGTTGGGGACAGCGGGGACTGGAATCCTAAGCTCAAGATTTGCCCCACAGAAGTCTCCCCAGGCCTGTTTACTCTTGGTCTACACACAGTTTGGACCGGCAGGTTTATCTGCCTTCTCTATCCAGATTAGAGCGGGGGCTGGAGCTATTTGAGGAGCCTGTACTGAGAAAGCAACCTATAATTGCTGAAGGTAAGAATAGATGGAAAACTCCAGAAAGCAAGCAGGAGAACTCAAAGTGGCAGGAGAAACAGGCTGTTTCTGTGCAAATATCCAGACACCGCCACATACTTTTAGTGGCCCCATACTGTAAGCTATTAATAGTTCGTCATGTAGCCCGAGTCATAATGAAAAGGCTAGCATCGGGCAGCATATTCTGTGTGAATTCTGATTCACATTTGGCTATTAAAGGAGACTTGCAGTGGGCCTCCTGGAAGTGGTGACTTTGAGCCAGTAGGAAGGGTGCATGGGCGTTGATTTGCGGTGGCAAAGGGAGTGGAATGTATGGTGAAAAGGCAGTTTTTGTGACTGTAGCCATATGGGGATATCGACCCCAGCCTGGTCCTCAGAATCTTTTCAAAGCTCCCTAAGGCACTCTAAAGTGCAGCCAGGGTTGAGAACCTGTACAGACCACTGTGCTCTCGGTATTCTCAATAATGACAGCACTAAGTACCATTTCGTTTTTGGTTTTGTTTTTGTTCCTTTTTTTTGGAGACAAAGCCTCGCTCTGTCGCCCAGGCTGGAGTGCAGTGGCACAATCTCCGCTCACTGCAAGCTCCGCCTCCCGG